ATATATTATATGTGCTCAAGATTGGCTTCGAAATTCATTGACACTAATTAATATTGAAGAAGATTTGCAAGATCTTGACAAAATTAAGCGAGTAATTTTGTTAACTCTTTATCTTTTCATTTGTCATTTTTTTATTTAAGATGTTTAATGTTTAATAACGTTGAAGTGTTGATTTATTTTTTATTTATTTATTTTTTTTGGATATAGCAACACTTTTTTTGGTGCCAACTATGATAGATATATGATGGATTAATAGTGTTTTGATCGTTTGGATGACATTGGTAAGTTTTTAATTTTTATTTGCTTGATATATTAATTTTTCCAACTTGAATATTTTGATAGATTATTTAAGTTAACAAGGTGTTTTTTTTTTTTTTAGGAAATGCCAAGATTTGAAAGTTGAAAGTTAATGTTTGTATTTGTATTATGGTTTAAGAATGTTTAATGGATTGTATTTTAATTATGGATGATGTTTGGATGTTGGTTTATGGATTGTATTTTAATAATAAATGGTGTTTTGTTTTGGTTATTTGATATTACATTTTAAATTCAAGTCCATAATTAAATTGATATTTGGATGTTTGGATGATGTTATGTTTTGGTTATTTGATTTAATAATGTATTTTAATAATGTTTAAGTTTTGGTTTATTAGTTATTTGGTTATTTGATATTACATTTTTATTTGTTTTGGATGTTTAATGTTTTGTTGCATTTTAAATTGTTAGAAATGGCCACTGCTTTGTGCTTCCCAATTCGACAATTCCCACCATATATATTACAAATGCAAAAGTTTGCTAGGTTGGTTAAAAAAAAAAAAACCAATTTTAATTGAAAAACCAAATCAAAAATATTTTTTTTAACCGAAAAACCAAACCTTAATACGGTTCGATTTCGATTTTTTTTTGCACATTCGGTTCACCGAAAAAAAAAAGTCGAATAAAAAAATCAAATGCTTACCCCTACGTAGAGGGAGAGAAAAAGACTGCCATGGTATTATTTGCTTTCGGCACATAAAATCCAACACAAAAATGATGAACGAGTAAAGAAACAAATGTGTTTTTTTTTCTTTATCAAGAAATGAATTTCATTCTATTTTCTTTAAAAACCTCAATTATAATATATACTAAAAGAGAATGAGATTTCACTATAGCGAAACTCCTGCTATAATCAACATAAAACAATGTTGTTTTGAGTCTTTTAGTGACTTTTTATCAATTTTTTCAATTATTTACAGTTGGAGCCTTTAAGTTATTAATTTACATAAAACTACCCCTAATTTTAATTAATATTACAAAAAAGTCCCTTTAATTTTTTTTGCTGGACTGAGTTATTTTTTTCACTATTTATTATTTAATTAAAATAGTTTTTTTTCATAATTAATTGTTGTTTTTTTATTTTTATAAATATTCAAACACCTCCTTCGAATTTGATTTTTTTAAAAATAAATAATTAATTGCATGTATTTTTTATTTATCAAAATAAAAAATATTATTAAGATATATTTAAATTCAACTATATGTATATTAAATTAAATAATTTTTTTTACAATGAGGTTTAATTAATTTTTATTTTATGTTTATATTTTTAAATTATTTAAAATATTAAAATATAGATATAACAGATTTATTGTGGTAACGTGCAGGTATTTGGTTAGTCGTAACATAAATAATCTTGACCTAGCGATTGTATACATAATTAATTTTTTCTAATAAAGCAACATTCAAGTCGTAATGATTCTAATTTTTTTGATGATTGTATAATAAGAAGGATTATTTCTATTGTGTGCTCTAATAGGTCTATTGGGCTTCCCATAAAAAAAAAAACAAAGCCCAAATCATAACAATAACTAACACCACAAATTTTTTAATAAAAAATTCCATTGATTATATATATATACACACACAGACAATACATTACTCATTAAAAATTTTCATCGAACCTAAACTAGTCCTTGCACTAATTTTTTTTAGACGCCATCTTGATTTTTCATAATTTTCTCAATTAGTCCTTATATTATGTTTACATCTATTATTCATTTAAAACAATAGGAAAAAAAACCTTGAAATTAATTTTGATAACAAACTTAATTAGCGGTCACTAAATCATGAAAAAAAAACCTTATTTTTTGATCAAATAAAAAAATGCAGACGCAAACACATTAAAATAAAATAAAATTGAAATTATTTAGATATTTACTTTAAATTAACAGTTCTCTAGATTGTTCACTCGACCAAAACCTCTGCCCCCACCTCATCACAATGGCAACAAACATCTCTAAACTCTGTGTCAAAAACCAAATTCCACTACTCTAGAAATCAATCAAAAAAATTTTAGTACGTGAGATTTTAAAATATAATTTATATTTTTTAATACATAAAATTTATATAGATCTATATTATTTTATGTTTAATTAATTAAAAAAATCTCAATCCAATAAGAATTTTCATCAAAAATCAATCAAAAAATTTAAATATGTGAGATTTTAAAATATAATTTATATTTTTTTAACACATGAAACTTACATAGATCTATATTATCTTATGTTTAATTAATTAGAAAAAAATCTCAATCCAATAAGAATTCTTTGACATGCTCCATAAAATATAAGATTTTTTGTCGCTAGGTTAATAAAATTTTGATATCATGTTAAAAAATCACCTTGATCAAATAATTTAAGGTATTAGATGGAGTTAAATATATAATTTATATTATTCTCTAAAAATAATAAAAGTTTGAAAAATCAAAATAATAATAATAAAAAAGTGGACGGAAAGAGAAATCAAGAATCCTCACGGGAGAAAATAAAGATCCAACCATCTCTTCGAAACCTATTCTTATCTTCTTCTTTTTTTCTTTTTTTTTTTCGTTTTTAAGATGTAGTTGACTAACTTCGTTATTTTTTTTCCTTGTTTAATACTTTAATAGATCTATTGGATTTTTTTTAAAACAGAATTCTGGTTAAATTAACTAATTAAAGTCATTATTAACAAATGAACAACACAATTGACAAAAAAAATAAAAAAATAAAAAAATTCGAGCTGGTAAAAATTGAAAAAAAAGTCAAACCCATAGCATAATTGGTACATCCTTATTTCAAACACAAAAAAGACTTGAGTAATGGGTAAGAATATTTATGAAATCTGAAATTTATTTTTTCGTGATCTAATAAAATTAAGGATCCTTGGAAATGTTCAATTTCTATGGGGCCTAGCCTTGTTAATGCTTTTTAGAGATTCGGTAGGCATAAATATGAAGGAAGGAAGAGACAATAATTTGTTGAGAGCAGACAAACTTTTACAGAGTCAGGAAGATGGCAAGCTGGGCTTTATCTAGTTGGATGATTAGGCGAAAGGAGCCCAGGGTGGGCGTCAGCCTTCATGCGAACTTCACTTGCTTAGCCCATTTTCTGCTGTGGCTTTTACTGCAGTTATAGCTGTAATTATGTCTGTTATAATTATAAAAAGAAATAGTAAACTCTAGGATAAATTCTTTATTTATTTAGTAAAAGTATGGAATACCCAACTTTTATTGGAAATTGAAAAAAATAATTTTTTTATTTCATTTATATATATATAAAAAAAATTGAATAGAAAAGCAAAACATCTATAACTTTTTGACACATATTTAGTTGTTGATAAAGGAAAAAAAAATAGTTAGGTACAATTCATGTGCATTTCTATCTTTAGAATTGATGTAAACCTAATAAAAAAATCTAATTTCAAATAGAAAAATCCAACTTCAAAATCAAAAGTTGAGAGACCAATTCTCAAATGATGTAAAAATTTAGAAAAAATTTGCATCATTTAGCCAAAATTAAATAAAGATAAAAAAATAAAAAAAAATCTAATTATCTGGATAAATTAATAATATAATGAAATTATATTATGATGTGGTGTGATTCTATTATAATCCAAATAAAAATTAATATAAATATCGAATTTATTTAAACAAACACGAGATCAAATTAAAACAAAAAAAGAATGTGTTGCAGTTCTTACATATCAATAATTGAGACAAAAAATAATGAAAAACACTTTTAAGTTAATCAAAGTTATAGAATTAGTTTAGAGCTGCGAGCCATACAGCTATATATATTAGACTATTATTAGATCCATATAGTTATAAGCCAAAACATTCATTTAAAAAGGGGAAAAAAAACATGAAATCTACGAATAATCATTATTTTTTACTTTAAACGTGAAAGTTTTGAGAGAAAGAATTGCTGATTTAATAAAATCTTCAGCACTAGCATAGATGAATAAATCATAAATTAGTTTTTTTTTTTTTTGAAAGCTAATTGTTTAGTTATCTTATTAGCATTGATTATGCTTAATTTAATAATATTTTATTTTATAAAATATCATGTTTTTTTCATTATCTCTTCTCCATATGTTTTGCTTTTTTTCTTTTCCTTATTCTATACTTAAAATCAAAATAAATTGAAAAAAAACAAAAAAATAAAAATAAAGAGACTAGATAATAATAATAATTATTTTTTTTTGAAACAAAAAGAATCAATGAATTCGTTTTCTCAGAGGAACTAATTTATAATTTACTCTAGCACAAATGAAATATGGCCAAAAAAAAAAAAAGGGGGGGGGGGTTCAACAATAAAAAGGTTTTGGGGTCAGAATGTAGATTCCCACATATCTAGAGGGTGCCCCTGTAAATACATTATAATAATTTCCTCTAAATACCAAAAGAAAACTTAAAAAAAAAAAAACAAAAACAAAATCCCACCTAAGGGTTTTTGCAGTAAAACCCTAGTTCCAGTTTCCCCACCGAGATTCTTATTAGGAGCAACAAAAATAGCAGCAGCAGCAGCAGTTCCAACTTTCACTTTCTGGCCTGAGCATCCGCACAAGGTAACCCGAACCCTACCTCTATCAGTTGTCTCTTTTTTAATTCCATTCCATGAGCAAAAAAACAATAGTGATAATAGCGACTTCCTTTGCGGGAAATTATGATTGCAGTAAAAACGATGGCAGAGGAAACCCAAATGCGGGAATCAGTAAAAGCCTTTAAAAAGAGAAAATCAGGGCACAAGAAAGGCAGCAACGCGAAGAAGAAACAAAGACAGTTTCTGGATATGAAAGCAAAAGTGAAAAAAATAGACCCCAGATTGAAGAAATTACTTAAAAAGAAGGCACGTGATTACAATTCAGATGATGACAATGAGGACGAGACTGCTCACGCGAGTGAAGATGATAACGCAGATTCTATGAATGATGATGTAAGTAGTGATGATGATGGAAAGGAGAAAAAGAATTTGGGGATCGAGATTGAAGGGTCTGAAAATGAAGATGAGGAAGATTATGACATGCAGCCTGGAATTACCAGGTTTAGTGAGGGTTCTAGGGCATTTAGGATTGCTTTCAAGAGTATTATAAAGAAGGCTATATCTGATGATTCACTGGTGAGCTAAGCTGCATTTTTTTTGTCCCTATATATATTGGTGAAATAGATAAAAATTCCTGGAGTTTGGTGGGTTTGCAGGGACCGGTTCTATCGGGTCACAAGAAGCTTGTAGCAGAAAAGCTTGCTGAGGAGGAAACAGAAAGGAAAGTGAAGGGAGAGTCTAAGAAGGAGAAACATTTGGTATTTCGATTTTAGCTTCATTTTTTGTTATTGTAGCATGTATCTGCACGTTTCATATATTTTTCATATTCGTATTTCATCATGCAATTAGATTTATGCTGTTACTTGGGCATTTGGTTTAATAGGTGAGAGAGAAGGGGCATGTGAAACCTGCTAATTATTTAGATGCACATGAAAAGTTTCTATTAACTGTGGCTACTAAAGGAGGTAACATATATTCACCCTTGATGTATTAGTAGAGATATATGTTTTGAACTGGATGCTTTGGTTTTCATGCTAACTTAGTTCATCTCTACTGCATGTATTGCCGACTTTTCAGTGGTCAAGTTATTTAATGCTGTAAGTTACTTTGGGGAAATTTTTGTGTTCTGTTTCTTTCAGAATCTGTAATTACTTGATTCTCTTTCTTAGATTGTTCACTCTTGCTGTGGGGCTGAGACTGAGATTTCTTTGTTCTGTATCTTACTCAGGTTAACAAGGCACAAAATGCGCAGAAAGGATTGAATCCTTCAAGGTCAAAAGATGCTAAAGGTATGTCTACTGGTGGTGCAACATTCTTTTGGATCTTCTTATTTTGATGCTACCATTTCCTGGTTGTCTTACTGATACTCCAAAGGATTCTAGTCATTGTTGAAGCGATACATATTTGCTGTTATGTGGTTGCTGATCTTACTTTGTATCCCTTCTTAATTCTAATGAAATGTTTTGCTTGAATCCTCTCAGTGATAAAAAAGCGACGGAAAGAAGCCTTCTTTTCAGAGTTGGGCAAGAAGCCAGTGGCTGACACTTCAACTAAGGTCGGCCATTTTTCCATTTTCTGTTCAGTTAAACTCTGCTTCAGCCATAGGAGCTACTCCCACATTTGTTGACTTTCTGCTTTCTCCCATATTATTTTACTTGTCTGGAAATTATTCCAATTTGGATCCATCTTTATTTCTCTCTTCAAGTTCATATGGAAGTTATTAAGCCGTATGCTAAGAGCAGTGAACTCAATTCAGAACCCTCTTTTATTACCAAGAACTGTTAAGTTTGCGAAATTGGATGCTAAGTCTGCTTTGTATCATCTTCCAGAGCACCTATTTTGTTCTATGTTGTTCCACTGAATAACTTCATAGTTTTACCATTTGCAGGTTCATGCATCTTCTGGTGAAGGGCCGTCTTGGGCTCCATTACGCGATAACTACATGCTAACTAATTCCAAGTTGAAGGACTGGGATAAGATACCGGTAAGACTTTTTACTATTGTTCTGATGCAATCATGCAAACCACTCTCCCTCTATCACATGCATAAGCCAGTGATGCTAAATACTTTTTCCCTTGTTCTTACACAAAGAATTGTCTGCAACCTACATGCAGGATAAAGTTGTAGCCGATGACATTGGAAGGATGCCTGAGGATAGCAGTTCTGATGATGATTGATTTTGTGGAGAACTAGGATCATAATTTTTGTGAGGTAAAACCTTAAGTCGGGTTGGGAAAAGTGTATGATGATGTTTTCAATGCACAGGAATTTTTGGTCTTACTTCTTATGGTGCTCTGTAATGGTTATTGATTATTATTATTATACATGAATGCTTCAAGCGAAACAGTGTAAGATTTTTCTCTTCCCTTGATTTTCCTCATTTTCTTTCCTCGTTTTAACCTCTCTATTCTATTCGGTTACCAAATATAGTCCATGGGTTACTTTTAACAAAATGAATTGCTATGATATAAAAGCTAGAAATTGAAACTTTGTACCTATGGATCTGCAAATGGCTGCAGTTACAAAATGATCAAATACAAAATGTCAATTTTAAAGCTTATTTTGAGTTGTTAGGGGGAGAAATTATTGCCAACGAGCTACAAAAATAGCCATAAAAATTGATGCAAAGGGATGACCTTGTCTTTAGTGAATGTCTCTTTTATTATTATTTATTGGCAAAATTACCTATTTGCTCTTATGTATTTGTGGCAATTGGTCGCTTTATCTCTTGTAGTTTAAACTTGGTCGATTGACACCAAAAATGACAAAATGATGGTCGATCAATAGCTACCACTTAGAAAAAGATTTCAAAAAAGATCAAATTGCATTTTATAGGAATATAGGCATTGAATCCAACTATTTTCTTTTTGAAAAAAAAATGGATATTGGTGTTCTTTGGCAAGTTTAATGGATTATTTGGTTATTGCGGTGATTTGTTGTTAAAAGTCATGGCGTGGCGAGTCAGCACTGAATGTTAGCGAAAGGAGGAAAAGTTCAAAAATAAAGAAAGAAGTGATGTTGGCTTATTTATTAGAGTTATCATGAAACCATTACCCTTGGCAAAAGGTAATTGGTCTAGAGAAGCATCAATGATATATGAGATCATACATTTTAAAATAACAAAGCAACAAGGTTGACTCTGAGAAGTTAATAAAATTAAAAGATGAAATGAAATTATTCCGAAAAATATAATGGGACACTAGGATATTCATATTCATTAAAAAAAAAGGAAAAAGGAAAAAAGAAAAAAAGAACGTTATTGTTTTTTCATGAAAAAAATGAAGTAATATATAAATGTTTAGCATTATCAACCGCAGCAAACACCAACTAAACCCTTCTACAATCAAAAGTAAATGTAAGTAAATAATGGACAGGCTGAGAACATTAAGAAAAATTCATCCAGTATTTTATCACTAGACAGTACCCTATTAAAACTACAGCATATATAATTATCCTTTGCGATTTACAGGCCCCCTGAAAAGAAAATAATTACAGCTCTAGTTTTTTCCGACCTTACAACTAGTTCAGGCCAGACATCAAATCCTCTCAACTACATATATAAATCCTGTGATATATACATATCAAATGGAAGGAGGAAAGAAAGATTACAACTGCAAGATCTTTGGCAACCTAGCAACTGGGAGCTCAGAAACCCACCATGCAGGGAAGCCACTTTATAGAACTGACCCGAGCAACAGGTTAGAAGATTAATAGTCGACATTAGGAGCATTAAGCTTTTTTTTTTTTTTGGCTGGACAAATAAGCATACTTTCCCTAGAGATAAAAAATGAAACAGATGAAGCTGCTCAGGAAAGTCGAAAGGAAATGAAAATTTCCAGTGTCTAGGCAAGGCAATCTTGTTGGAAGGTATCAGAACCGTCTTTCATTCATGTTGATGGGAACTTCTGCCCCAGAAACTTTTTGGTGAAGCATCAGAAACCAACTCTTTTACTTCCATAGTCCACCTTTTCTTCCAGCAAAAGCCTAGACCCCAACGATACAATATTCGTATAGCCTGTCATTGCACAAAGAAAACAATGTATCAATATCCATTTTTGTTTAGGAAATAATACCGAGTCTCTCCAAACTACAGATCGGTTTCTTTCCTTTTATTCTTCTAAGAAAATGGTTTAACATTGTACACTCAGAAACTTCTTGTGTGGCTCAGAGGGTCATAATCATAAGCATCACCAGCTTTGACAAAGCGACCCTTCACACGCCTTCTTACATCTGCCCTTGCTTTGCGAGACGCATACCTCACTTTCTTTTCAAACCTATGACAAAATTAGGGGAACCGTTAAACATACTACTGCCATAAATTGCAGAAAAACACGCACGGGATTCTGAAAATCAACAAAAGTTTCAAATAAAATTACAACCATAAAAACCAGAATTCAGATTCTAGGTAAGCAAAATAATTGTGAAAATCGCTAAAGAAAGAGGTAAATACATATAATTGATTATCAACAGCGCTGAATGTTCTTTCTAATACTCTTTTCTAGACATGTCAGCCAAAAGAAAGAAGTCATAAATGCAGTTGTTTATTTTCATGCGTGAACTACAAAAACAAATACAAAATAAAAGGATAATGTCTACACTCAAATGCATGCATTCCTCTAATTCTTGTGAATTGTAGGATGCATTAGACTGTATTGCACTATATGGACAGATTACCTGAAAAATAAAATACATGATGAGAGAAAGATTACAGTATACAAAATACATGTACAACTAAGTAAGACACTCAACCAAGTCATTAACATAATCAGATTTTCTGTAAAATAAATAAAATGGGAAAAGGCGTACAAAATAAGTACAAGTTTCATTTTGGGAATCACAAAAAACAGTAGCGGTCCAAGTGAATCTACAAAATGGATTTTCTTATTAGATTGATAGCATACTCACTTGCGTGTCTTCTTCTTTTCCTTGTAACGCATTACGGCATCACTCCGGTTACCTGATGGTGAGGAACCGTCAGGGCATGGGGGACCCCATGGAGGCTCTCCCATGAGAAGCATTGAAGATGCTCCACAATCTTGGTAATCTCCAGGGCTACTCTCTCCAGTAAGGCCAGAAAATGAGAGGTTGGCGTGGCCTGGCACTCCAGCCCTTGGTGTAAAACAAAGGACTGGTTCAGTCTTAGTACTCATCATAGAATCAGCAGATGCTGCGTTGCTGCATGCGGGCTGTATTGCGTTGACTAGTCCAACTGATGACCCCTAGAGACATCCAACCATACAAACATTTAACTACGAATGGACTAAAAAATGCCTAATGCTAGAAATGTCTACAAAAGACTGGCAATGATAAGCAGGTAGATTTGGAGTTGTAGTAGCTATGCACATTATCATGCAAATGGAGAAGAAAAGAGAGAAGAGACAATGGAGGCTGGGAGAGGGTTTCAAATAAAAAAAATTAACTTCAATCAAAGTCCAATCGTGAATGCCAAGTTTTTAAATAATAATGAGAAAAGTTTTTAAATATCAACTTCAATCAAATTCTTTTACATATAAAACCCTTGCAGGAAATATATATGAACAATTAAAGTATTCTTTTCAATCATGTCAGAGGAAACATGCTATATATGTGTGTGTGTGTGTGTGTGTAAAACTGTAAATGAAAAGGGAAATAATGTTCGTCAAATAGAACTGCTGCATTTAAATTATAAATATCCTTTTCCAATTAACATTAATTAAAAAAAGGGCATGGTATGCATTTAAGTCCAATCGGAGCAACAAGGAACAAACAAATCAAAAGACAAAAACCGAGTAAGATAGGTGGACAGCAAAAGCTAAAGAGTAAAAGAATAGAACCTCAGCTGCAACTGCACCCTGACAATTGGAGTCTGCAGCAGACATGTCCTTTGTCCCAAATAAGCTATCAATGCCACCATTCTCAAACAGCTCTTCTGAATTATTGAGCGTGACACCAAAGAGCTCTTCATAGTGTTCGAGATTCATATCCATTTCATCCATATTGAAGTCCTCATAAAAATCAGCATCTTCATAGGGCGCAGGACACTTGGTCCCGGGACAGTATAACTGCAGTTGAACAGAGAGAAAATTGCAAAAGGTCCTTAAGAAACAGAAAATAAAATTTTCACATACCCATAAAGAAGCAAAGGTAACAATTTACTCACTCACTCACTCTCTCTCTCTCTCTCTCTATGTATATATATTTCAATTTGCTAACAAGAAACAATTATTCGAAGTTTGCCTTTGACTGACTATGAGCTTAGATGGATGTAAGGAAGGTCAAAATCCAGAGTTGTTGACAGCTGTGAAAGCAAACAGGAGTGCATTTCAGACTACTGCTTTCACAACAGCGAAGAAAGAAAACAGTCTCTCTCTTACGATGTAATGTACGAGCCCCTCATCACAGATGAAGTTACATTTCCCAAACTAGTAATGCTTCAGTGGACGATTTGCAAAGTTTAGCTTATAAATTAGGCTGCTTCATCTGACATGCGGGATTTTAGAGTTAAACTGTAATACGGCGAAACCACCACACAGTCCAAGTGCCTCATTGCATACAGTACTTCCAGCTATTTAATGGCATCTGCTGCAAGTAGCATGCATATAGCAGGCAAAAACTATCACACAATTAGTTCCAAGATTAGAGAAACCTTTGCGTGATAGAATTCTATTACAATTAAAACCTGTTAAAATCGCAAAACAGAAAATACATATTACTAACAGGAGGGATAGAGATTCCTGACTACGTACATTTTCCTAGAAAGAAATAGTCTTTATTTAGCGATTTAATTTCTAAAAGCCAGACTGTCAAAGGTTACGCATCCTGCATAGACAAAAAAAAAAAAAAAATCTGGTACGCTAACGAAGATTTTCTTATGAAGAAGTTCAAGTTTTAATAATGTTCTTCATAGTCAGGAAGCTAAAATGCAAAAACAGTTAAGGGGATAACTGAGAAAAGTAACTTTAATTTCCCGCAAGCCACAATTTGGATCGCTATGTTATTTATTAGAGTGTCCATGCAACCGAAATGACAAACACCTGCATTCCTACAGAAAAATCTGATTCCACGTCCAAAACGATTCATACACTGAAATACCACATACCTTTGGCAAAGATGTATTTGTGGATTTGGTTGGCTGGTCTAGATTGTTCGGCACAGAGCTCGATTCAGGTATCGAAGAAGTCTCAAGCCAAACACCTGGTTTAGCTATTTCACGCCTGTCATTAACCTCAACAACTCCAGATGCATTTTGGCCAATATTATTCTCTGTAGGACCCCAGGAGATTGTGGCGCTATTTTCAGCAATGCTCATCAGACCCAACTCCTGTTCACAAGTAGATTCACCCCTAGAAGGGACGTTTAAAACGAATGACCATATTGAAGAAAGTTCAGAAGCTGATGGACAGCCAGAGTAACTATTGATCGTCTGCCTTTTATGCGTGGAAGCTGACGTTGAAGTGCCATGGCCCATCCAATCACAATTCTGACAAAGAGATATTCTTTCTTCAGCGCATCTAACTGATGCGGGATGTGAATTGCATCTTTCACATATGAGGGTTCGTGAATGGCGCTTGGACAAAGCATTAGCAGAATGAACATTTCGATCGCAAGATAAACACAAGCATGCAGCATCTGACCGGCAATAAACCATGGACCTTTGTTCCCCACAAAAATCACAAACGTAACCCATGCTTCAACTAACTGCTGATTCAATCAGCTAACAACAGCTAGTCTTTGGTACACCACAGTTCCACTGATGGATCTTGCAGTCTTCAGATTTCAAAACAACCTTAAAGCAAGAGCAGATAAGAAAAAAAGTCATTATTTCTGCTAACAAAGATAAAATATCAAAAAAAAAAAAAAAAAAAAAGAGGAAAAAGAACAGAGGCACGTAATTCAATGAGATGGCTGGAATGTCAATTTACAATCAAGACTACATGGGAAAGCTTAATTTTATTTTAGATAATCATTTCCATACAAAAAGAAAATTAAAAACAAGAAGAAACAAAAGGTCAGTTCTAGAACAAATTAAGCTTACAGAGAACCAAAAGAGGGAGCCAAAAAAAAAAACAGAACATGATCTATCCACGGAAATCCAAGGCTTCAAACACGAAGAAATGAAAAAAAAAAAAAAATTTGATGAAAAAATAACTACTTTTCAAAGCTCTGACTTTTTCTTGCAAAGAAAGAGAAGAAAAACAGAGTGAAAAAATAGAAACCAACCCAATAAAGTAACAAAGTAAACCTTTTCGTGTCAGAACTGTTAGCTACTTGAAAAAAAAAAAAAAAAATCAAATAATTACACTTGATGCATGAAAACAGGAATTAAATCCAATCATGGAATTCAACCCCAAAAACACGCACAAAAATTTTAAGAATCAGCCAGCATGCAAAAATAGCAAATACCAAAACAGAGAATCAAATAACCTGATGACAAAAATGGAAAGGAATTCAGCTATAAACACACTAAAACAAGCGGGATCCATTTCTCACCTTCTTTACAAAGAAACAAACAGAATTAATGATGAGAAAGACCCAGAAAAGGAAACACATAAAAGAGTAATGAAAACAGAATAATTACCACAGGGAACAAGAAGATCGGTTAAAGAGCTGCAACAAAAATATTAAATTATTGGCACCCCAATAAAAAAAAAAAACAAAATTTATTTATATTTATAGAGCTGAAGAAACCCTACAAAGATAAGAGCTTTCTCGAATCTCTCTCTATATCTATCCGGGAATTCTTTGTAGAGAAAATAGAACAGAAAAGCTCAGAAGCAGGAGTTGAAGACAGAGATGATGAAGGAAGGAGAGAGGGATAAGAGGGAGGGAGAGAGATAGAGATTGGGTGGGTGAGTTGTGTTATAATGTAAAGCACATGTGTGTGTTTTGCATAGGAATCTGTGTATGTGTGAGTGACATAAGCTGATAAAAAGTGCAAAAGCGAAGAGATACTTAGCATTAAAAAAAGGGACCAAGTTGTGGGTGGGGGATAGGAAAAGTGGGACCCTGTCCTTTTCATTTAGTGAAAGCAAAATGTTAGGTCCTTTCTTCTTTCTTCTTTTTCTTCTTCCTCACTCCCCTACTCTCCATCCTACAAAATACTATATATATATATATCTATACTTACACTGCTACTATGCTTTTCCCATTTACTCCCTTTCCCTTTTTACACATTTCTTCTTGGCTATTAAATTATTATAAATTAGTCACAGGTGTTGCCGCCGGCAATTTCTGGTTTGTGGGCTATCCTGAAATCTCTTTGTTTTTTTCTTTTCTTTTTTCCCCTTGTTTTAAGATCTCGTGAATCTAGTTTTATTCTCCTTTCTTGTTATAGATTTAAATCTGGTTTATCGATATCATTAAATTTTTGTTTGCTCCTCCTTGTTGATAGGAGGATTTAGTCTTTATTAATTTCTAGCTGAGTTGAAGATGCAACAATGATTGACGAATATGATTTTTTTAATCATTATACTATGGGCGTATGACATATTTCTTCTTCGATCCGCTGTAGTTTAAACTCATATATAATTACATGTATGCGTGCGATTTATAAGTTTATAAAAAAGGCAACTCAAGTTTGAAAGTTTCAAAGACTTTTATTTGGCGTTCAAATTGATAAAAGAAAGTCAATTATTATTTCGAATACTAGCTGTCAGAATCGGTGCAAATATGTCTTTCAAACATAAAATTCAACTCTTACCATTATCATATTTTGCATTATTATTATTATTGTATGAAATTACTATTGTATTTTTACCCTTTTTGTTATTAATGAAATACTATTTGCATTCTGAAAAAAAAATATATATATATATATATATGCATACAAATTAGTCTTTTTTATCTTTCCAAAAAAAAAAATTCTTATAATTTTAAAAACTAATCAATTAATATTTTCTGTCTAGACTTGATAATTGAAATGGGGTTGGAAAAGTTTGGGCTAAGCTGTTGTGAATTCAGATATTTTTAAAGAATATATATATATATATATATACTCCTTTTATGTTTGCAAAGATTTAAATAATTTTTTTAGCTTTGAAAACTAATTAATTAGTCGCATTTGTGTGCATGTGACAAATGAATCAAACCAAAAAAAGTTTGATTTGGTTTAATCTAATTCCAAGATTTGTTGGACAATGGTTATATTCGACCTAATTGTTCACATTGGAAAACTTCAATACTATTTGTAAAGAAGAAAGATGAAATATTGAGGTTGTGTGTAGATTATCGCAGGCCGAATCGAGTTATTATCAAGAACAAGTATCCGTTGTGTTCTCGAAGATAGATTTGTAATTCGATACTATCGGCTAGGGTTTAAAGAAGACGATGTGCGGAAGACGATCTTTCGGACGCGTTATGGGCATTATAAATTTGTGATGATGCCATTCAACCTAATCAACGCTCTTGTAAAGTTTATGAATCTGATAAATTATGTCTTTTGATAATATTTGGATAATTTTTAAATCGTTTTGAATACATATTGCTTTTTGTTCAAATTGTATTTGAATTCAAGTTACAATATGTTTAATCTAAATCTAAATCCATCATCTTTGAACAGGTTTAGATCATCCAAAAAAAATTTAAGATTTTGTATTTTTTGTATTTTAATGGAGTTGTTGGTTGTGATATTAATAAATTTGTGTACATAGCAACGTGCATGTTAAATCTATTCATGGCCATATTATTAGGTTTATCACCAAGGTTTTGCTGATTTGTGCAGAACATATTATAGCAGCTGGGACCCTTGCTATATTTATTAATGTTTCCTTTCTCCTAGGATTTATTTCTTATTAACATTTAATAGTACCGTTTGGGGTTCTCAAAGTGGGCAATGACGCATCTGGCACCTATATTCTTCTTTGTTGATGGATGGTGCCTTATTATTATTTTTTCTACGAATTCCGTCTCTGAAGACGCTTTCCGTGAAGGAAAGAGTCATTACATCCAATTTTATTAAGAGTACCTGCCTGCTACTCTCTATCGTCCCTGTTTGTCGAGCCATGAAAATTGAAACGGGGAAAATATTAAAAAAAAAATTCAGAAATTCGATTCTCTCTCCTGTCCTCTTATCCCCATTTTTTCTCTCTCGCAAATTTATAAGACTCCCAATTTCACCGATTCAAGAGGTTCTTGTTTTAAAGTTCTGAGTCTTTTTGAGCTTTTGGATGGTGGTGGGTTTTTAGATAAAATGAAAAAAATTCGAAGTGAGATTTTTATATATCTATCTTGCTCTTTAAAGTAAATTTATAAAATAATTATTTTATACGTCAATAATTACTTCTGAGTATTATAAAATTTATCAGATTTTGATAGATGTTGAAAAAAAAATAATTTTATAAAAAGTGAGAATTAAATAGATTTTGTAGGGGTTGTTGACCAAAATTCAATTGCATTTTTCACTCTTAAAAGAAGAATAAAATAACATTCTTGTTTCTCTTTTGCTCTCTCAATCTTGATTTTGGCATTGTTTAGATTTTTTTTTATTTGCATGAATTTTAGATCTAGATATTTTAATTTATTTCAATTCAGGAAAATCTGAATGTTGAAAAATAAAAATTGATTCTTAACTATACAAACTTAAATAAAAAAATGTAAATGTACTAATTTGTTCTTATATAATATATAATATTTCCTATATGTCTATAGATTGTCAATTGCTTTTCATTTGTCTTTGAAAATTTTTGAAATATTCAATCCGTCATTCCGATCAAATTTTTCGATATAAAATTTTTTAACCAAAATGCCTTTTTATTAAAATACAAAAAAATTAAAAAAATTAAAAAAAACGCTTAAAGTCACATGACCTATACGCTTTATTTTTTAAGTCTTTAGATTTTTTTTCATTTTGATCAATTTTTTTATTCGTCTAGAAAATATTTTAAGTGTATTTAAAAACAAATGGGATGCAATTAAAAACTTAAAGACAGATATAAGACATTATATATTATATAAGGACAAATGGATATATTTATCCAAAAAAATGATTTTTTTATTTATTCAATCACTCAATTAATTAAAATAAGGTTTTCTACATTTCAAACACCCAATTGCTAACTTCAGCGTTGCTCTTCTTCTTTTTTTTTTTTTTTCCATGTCATTTTTCCATGACTCGAAATGATTGACAGATAACACTAATCTAATATAATTGGTAATTTCAGTGCTGGTGTTTCTTTCTTTTTAATTTTTGAGCTTTATATTTTATTTCTTCATGACTGAATGTACAAATGTTTGATATCTTCAAAGATAATATTCATAACAAATTTCGTAGGGTGCTTGCTTGAGTGGAGCATATTTTCAGCTACTCATGTCCTGTTGTTCATTAGAGTAACTAATTAATTGCCTTTTGTGGTATGTTATGCTTTATGGTTTTACCTTCTGTGATACTTGGCGGCCATTCAAAGCAAAAGTTTCTTTGTATTTTTCTCCAAAAACTCTTCTTGCACGAGAGGCAACTTAGCTAGCACTGCTTAAAATTTGGTAAATGCCCATTAGTTAAAGGAAAGAAAATTCGCACTACTTCTTCTTTTATATATTCATTAGCTTACAAAGCTGATGCATATATATATATATATATATATATATTGTGCCAACTGCCAAGTGATTCTATATGCACTTTTATAAAAAAAGTAATAATTATTAATTGTATAAAAATGTTTATTATTTAAATTAAAAATCAGAATGAAATTA